GTAAGAAAAAAGCACGATAACCTGTCCGAGTTTGTTGTAAGAACTTCCAGGAATTCTAGCCTAAATTTCTGTCGTACAATCATAAAGAATTGAACCTGTGCCTCTAGCACAGTCTTTTCTGATTTTCTGTTCTACAATCCGTAATTATGGCATCTGTGGTAAAAGATTTGAATCGAGGAAACGGACCGTGAAAAAAAATAAGTGTAACGCTTTCGGTAAGAAAAGAGGTAAGACGACTAGTTTTTTGCGAAAATCAGACAAGAAAGGAATTTTCAAACAACAGGAATCGCACATCGGCTGTGCAAAAGTAAGAATTCCACAATGGCGTTTACAAAATAGCAAAGAAGAATTGTAGAATGAGCTTTAAGCAAGTTTAACAAAAAAATATTTCTTTTGACTGATTGCTGGCGAAATAACATTCTATATGTTAGAAAATATATATGTATGTATCTCCATTCAATGTCTATCTGTCTATTTATATATAAACAAACCTTCAGCGAAGCATGTAGGCATTTAATGAATGTCCTGACACTCGCAGTGTGACCGCCCGGCCAACTCAAATTGTATGCAATAATCAGACAAGCTATTTATTATTAACCGCTTCATGTTGTATTCACACTACTTACATACATATGTACATATACATATATACGTATATGTATGCGAGAGTGTGTGTAGGTATTATTTACTATAAAAGTTAGACTTCAGTGTCAGCATTGAATAAATATAATGGCGTACGCCTTTTATGGCGCCGTGTGGCATTTGTATGTATGTATGTATATATGTGTGTTTGTTCGTAACAACAAGCCGTGTTAAATACAAAAACAGAAAGAAACCAGAAGTTAGAAAATCAAATGAAATATTTGAAAAATAAAAGGGTTATATCTTATAGCATTAAAGGGTAAACAATTAATATCATTGTAAAATTCTTGATTTGTTTCGCATAGTTTGTATGACAGCTGTATGCTATAGTGGTCCGATCTGAACAATTTAGTCAAATATTATAAATTTTCTTTGGATAATGATCTGTGTCAAATTTCGTGGTGATATCTTGTCAAATAAAAAAGTTTTCCTTATTAGAACTTCATTTTGAGTGCTCAATTTGTATGACAGCTATATGCTATAGTAGGCCGATATCGCTAACTCCGACAAATGAGCTCTTTAAGTGATTTCAACTTTTCATTCTGTGTTATAAAAACTTCGTGACATGCTTAAAATTATCTGTTCAGGGTATAAAACTTTATGTATGTATGTATAGTTATCAGCGGCAGTGTTGAGCAGCAGCAGACATGTCTGTAATTTGACGGTATTCAACTATTATAAAGATGGCAGACATGCATGCGAATGGCGAAACGCATAACTGCACAGATATGCAGACATATGTATATACATATGTACATATATATAAGTAACTGTGTATATGTGCTAATTTATGTATTGAATTCACTTTCACTATAGCACATGAGGAATTTCCGCCACGTGGTGGCGATGCGACGGATATACATATACATGGATGTGTATGTGTGTGGTTAAATGAACTTAAATGTAAATACATATATGTATACATAATACATAACTACACCACTATTATTCTGGTAGGACTATTTGATAGTTACACGATCGAGATCGAGACGACCTTAGAGTATAGGAGAAAATATGTTGTGTGACGTCACATTAGCAATTTAATGAAAGATAGAGAAAGAATAGAGAAAAAGAAAAATAGAGAGTGAAAGTGAGAGGAGAAGGTCATCACTAGAGCGAGTAGCTCTAAAGATAACTACCGTTGAGAATCAAAAGGGAATAGAGAAAGAAAAAAGAAAGAGTTCGCTGAAGCTAATGGTTTTTAAAAATATCTAACGAGAAGAAATTCCAGAAATGTCGATYTTCATTGTGAATCCTGTATTACCAGGATCGATCATATGTTCCTCTCTTATACAATTTTCTTTGAAAGTTTAACCAACATATTTGCTAGAAATATTTTAGTTTCGAAAATGAAAATATCAACAATTTGGCCATGTAGACTTAATTACTTTGTATACCGCTGCGAATCAAGCAGCATGATCCGAAAAGATAGTAATATGTTCGAGGAGACTTCATTTAGCAGCTTTCTCTTTCTTGAAGAAGCTCTTTAGATTGCTTAATTTCATTATTCACCGCTTCAATCTACRATCTAATCAAGCAACATATGCCACAAAAATCTAAAAGAGAGTAATATGATCGAGGAAACTTTATGTAATAGCATTCTCCTGCTTCCTCTGCATCATGTATTCCATATACTATAAAGGAAACTCGTTCATGTATGTTGCTATAAGGATTTATGAATCTGCATTATTCAMCCTTTAAAGTATGTCTAGAATCAGAAGTCCTAGATTGGTTTTGATATCACCCCAAGGGCCCTTTTGACTTCCAAATCACATCGTAAACGTAGGAGTCACATTGACATTAGCCAAACCCCATGACTGCTTCACTCATATATAGCCAGCAGGCAGCCAGCTTCCCCCGAAGTCATCTTGTGACTTCCAAATCACATCACAACACGGCGTGAGAGCCATCTTGGCACTGGACACGCCCGATGGCTGCTTCACTCATATAAAGCCAGCRGGCAGCCAGCTTCCCCTGAAGTCATCTTGTGTTCCCAATCACATCAGAAGACGGCATGACAGTCACCTTAACATTKRTCAGGCCCGATGGCTGCTTCACTTATATAGAGCCAGTTTGCCCTGAAGTCACCTTGAGACTTTCCAATCACATTACCACACGGCTTGAGAGTCGCCGTGGCTATGACAAGATCACATGGCTGCTTCATTTACATAGAGCGAGCTTTCCACGAAGTCACTTTGTGACTTCCAAATCACTTCACAACAGGGCGTGAGAGTCCCCTTAGCATTGGTCAGGCCCGTTGGCTTCTTTACTTATAAATAGCCAACTTCATCTGMAGTCATCTTGTGACTTTCAAATCATAGCTTCTTTACTTTTGGAATGGCAGATGACTGCTAACCAGACATTGGAAAAACGGCTCTAAAAATTCCTTCCCTTACTAATTTGAACCTAAAAAATCTCTGAAGAGCTGTTTTATATCATATAAGTATATGGTATATTAGTAATGCTTTAAGGAAATTAAAAAACCTTAAGTAAATTAAATTCTAGGAACAGGTGTGCATCAACTGAGACGGTACTATATTTTTACCCGTCCAAGGACCATCACTCACTAACCTTTCTCAAAATGCTCTCCAAAATATTTCTTTCGCTAGTATAACAACAACAAAAAAACCTCACGTTTATGAAAAAAAAAAACATATCTCATTCATCCTTTAATCTTCAGTCTTTGACGACATGGTTCCACTGCTAATTTCAAAATTTCGAATTTCATTTACTTGTAGCCAACAACAATTTAAGAAAGTCCTTAAACTTGATGTGCAAAAACATAAGAGCTAATGGCTAAATACTCTTTTACATTCCGTAAGTACTTCGGTATATAAATTCTAGTCAAAGTCCCCTGGCTGGTTTATAGCTTCTAGCGCTGTGTGTGCGCTAACTGTGGCCTTCTCCGCTTACCACTTCCGTTGTTAACTTTTTTTTTGTTTTTTTTTTTGCTGGATCGTGAGGGTGTTATTTTTTGCTGCTTGCTTTTGTTGCTATTTAATATGCGAAGGTGTTGCATGTGAAGCGGGGAGTAAATTTTTCAATGTCACGCATATTGGTAAACATCGCATCGATATGAATTGGAGTATACATGTATATATATGTATTTGTACACAATTTCCTTACTGAACAGCTGACCGACCGTCAAAGGTAGTAGACTGATTGTACGATTAGAAGCCGGTGACATGGCCTTTAGAAAAACCCAAATTATATAAGTGAAAGTTCTTGCCCAAAGCAGCAGTCGCGCCTCGGTAGACAAGGTCAAGCTTTCAATTATATAAATAATCTTAATCGACTATACGACGACTGTTTGTTCGAGGGCAGGAGATACTTTGTCTTGCCTCTCGTTCTTACCAGACCCATTTGCTTCGCTAGAGGACGGAGACATGTGTAGAAGTTCACGCAAGTAAGGAAAGTCCACTGATTGCTATTCATTTGGGAGTGGTCAGAAACGATTCTTTTACATATTGCTCAAGCAGCTCACTTCCGGTCTTTGACCAAGTATCCTCTGGGCAGCCAGAAAACATCCGTTTGAAGGCGTGCTAAAATGAGAAGGCGAATCATCTCTATCCAGGGTTGTGCGCTCAATTTGGAATTTGCAACGTGTTAAAACACCCCCACTGAAAAGGACGCAACAGCCTCGGATGAGCGACCCTCCTTTACGATGAAATGACATTCCTTTGCTTTAAATACCATCGAGAGACAAAATGTCCTCTATTCCCCAGCTAAATGTCAAGAAAACACATAACCAGATCAGACCTGTTGATCAGCGAAACGGTTCCGATTTACGTAGCACCGGTTTGGCTGTTGGGGTGCAGATAAAATTGCTAGTCGTCCCCATGACAGTATGGTTTACGTAATCGGAACGTACCCGGATCTTTATACGACCAAGAACTAAACATACTAAATATATGTATTGCTTTACTCTCAAACTTAATAATCTGATTTCTATGCTCATCTCATCGATACAACTTGTTAATTTCAACTAGCTGCCCCAACAAATCATGGCTACCCAGAACACCAATATATTGCATGAATCAGCGTGAAAGCCGTGTAACTCTTAAAGCTTCTTGAAAAATGGAGAAACGACCACAAAAGTTTAAAATTGGTTAAAATTGTCGATTGGACCTATGAAACTCATAGAAACTTTAACAGAAATATCTGATAGCGTTTTTTGGAAATTAACCGGTTACTCAACTAATAACAAGTTCGGAAACTCTTACAAAATAAAAATAAATTTAAAAAATTTAATGGACAAGCCTGCGTTTGCACAAACTCAAAAGATAGCAGTGTATTCAGAATAACACACAGCAAGCTGTGCTGTCATTTTGTCATTGTGAATAAAAAGTTTACGCAAACTGAAGAAGCAGCACACATCAAAATTAGGTGTAAGTAATTTATGAATTGTTCGCCAGCAAATCAATTTATTTTAGACGCGTTTATAATTTCTAGTTCTTTGTTATGGCTGCTGCGGAACTGGATTACAATGATTTGCTGGACAACATATTTTTGGCAGAAGAAAATATTGTGAAAGAGAGTTACCAGGAAGGCTTAGAAGTGGGACGTGCAAGTGGGGACAATGAAGGTTATAAGCTAGGCTATGAGCAAGGGTTACGACTTGGCAAGGAATTAGGTGAAATTTACAGTGTCGTTGTGGCACAACAACAACTAAAACACACTGAAAAGCTGCAACGTGCATTACAACAATTACGTACAAGCATAGACCAATTTCCACGTGATAATAATCCCAAARCCGATATAATTGGCATGCTGCAGGACATACGCAAGCAATACAAATATGTACGGGTGTTGACGGCAGGCAAAGTTGGAAAGGCAACGAAAGAAGTAGAAATCGCCAAAAGTAGTGGTGGTGCGATAAAGAAGGCCAAAGATTTTTCTTTTTAAAAATCACAACAACTGAAGAAATGAGTAGCAGTCAAATACGCGCGTGCTTGGAGGATATTTTACACTTCATGCAGCCACATTGWTGTGTGGAATACAATGCTTGCAACAGACTGCAAACGACATCTGTCAAATATTAAAATACACACGTTCTTATGGATGGACCTATTTTGACAGCTGCATGGCTACGCGACTGCAGGCCGACAGTTGTCGTTCTCGCTAACTTCAATTCGATCCTATATTTGCCAACGACAGTAGGACGACAGTAGAGTTGACAGTAGAATGGAAGACAGAGAGATGAGGTAGAGTGGTGATGCCACTACTATGTAAAATGTGAAATTACTCAGAGCTCTAACAAAACTGACGTTATTTTACAAATAAAAGCATAAAATAGCTCTGTTACATCATTTATAATAACAATTGATAATTTAAAACAAATAAATTTACCTATTTACTTATATTTTGCATAAAAAATTTCACTTTGARCAAAATATTAAAATTTCATTGAAGTACAAGCTATTAGTATGGCCACAACGAAATTGTGTGCATGCAAAATGAACAACTGCGTTGTTTTGTGTACATGCCGGCCATTGTTATGTTGCTGCCCTCTCACAAACGTTCTTGTAGTAGAATTCACAACGCCATTTTCAGTTCACTGTCGTGCTGCTGCAGTCTGTCGCTAGCATTGTGTTCTACAAATGAGAGTTTGTCAACTGTCATATGGTTAGCTATTTGACAGACAAACATTGGCAGACTTATGTGCCCACTGAGATAAGGCATGAAGTACCATATGTGGAAAGCGTACAAAACTGCATTGAAACAGAATTTTGGCAAAATAATGGTAAAGATAATAAATTTAATGGGTAAAATTTAGAGTAGCATCCCCGGATTTCGAGGATAAAATGGGTGTCATTGGAAAGATGACGTTCTCCAGATCACGAATATATATATATATATATATATATAGTTGCCGCTGACTTATAGTTTTAAAGATATTTGAGTTTAAAGTTAAAAAATTTGCAGCTTTTAAATTGATAATTTGTTTATTGTGAATAACTATTTCACTTATATTATGCACATTTCACTTACTAACACTTCACTATAACGTTTTTGTATATAGGTTTTTTAATATTTATTGCAAATAAAGCTTTATTTCAATTATTTTGTTTTAGTTAAATTCACTGCATTTGCACAACAAGGATAGGGTTGCATACTAGCAAATAAATGGTATTGCCATATCTGCCTAGTTGTCAACAAAAGAAAATAAGCAAAAGCATTATACCCC